TGAAAACATTACTTCACCTAGAACCGTTCAGTTCTATAAACGGTTCAGGTGCGACGTTGCCACCATTTTGCTCACGAATAGCCCTATAGTCTCCCTCCATCTACAGGTTTTGTAACAAGCGCTGCTTTTCCTTATATTATGATTTTGGAATCCATCCATCCCACGTTTCAGCGATAGCCCAGTTGCGCCGAGTCTTTGAAGTCGTTAAGGAGCGCCTAGAATACATAGCAAGTGGACGCGAGAAAAAATCCGACTGTGACTCCGTAGCTTGTGTCGGGAAAATACTATTCCTATTTCATTAAGCCTCGAATACAGACCGGGTCTGCTCCGCCGCTGCGCCCCCCGTCTGTGCATACTGGCGCGGCATTGGTGCAATACTTCGTGCGGATCACAGCATGCAACTTGGCTAATGCCGTTTGGCCGCCCGCAACTCCTGCACCGGGCGGAAAATAAGTTGTGGAGGACGTGATCACGTACCATACCTTCCATCTCACGCGCAATACTTGAAATTTCGCTCAGTGGTGCCCGGAGATGTAGGAGATAGATGCTACTTTCCTGTTTGAATTCTTTTCATTGGGGTGCTCTCCTCAGTGGTCATTTTGTTTTCTTTTTTCTTCTCTTCCTTTCTTTTCTTTGTTTTGTATTTTTTATTTTTATTTTCTAAAACCGCTTTTCTGCGAATTGCGCGGGATTTGCAGAAATGCGGTTTTCAAGTCGATACGTATATCTTTCCTTTTTGCAATTTCATATTTCATCACTTCTTCAACGTGTCATGTATGAACGCGGGCCTCAGGCCGCGTTCATAGCTTGCGACCATGAAGAAAGTGAAGAAGTGCCGAAAGTGCGGAATCTGCAGAAATGCCGAATGTGAAGAAAAGCAATAGATATGTATCGATTTGACTTTCCGCACCTTCCCCACTTTCCGTACTTTCTTCAAATCGATACGTATCTAATGCTTTTCTTCACTTTCTGCAGATTCCGCACTTTCCGCACTTTCTGCAGATTCCGCACTTTCCGCACCTTCTGCACTTTCCGCAATTTCTTCAAATCGATACATATCTATTGCTTTTCTTCACATTCGGCATTTCTTCAGATTCCGCACTTTCGGCACTTTCTTCTTCACTTTCTTCAAATCGATACGTATCTATTGCTTTTCTTCACTTTCCGCACTTTCGGCACTTCTTCACTTTCTTCATGGTCGCAAGCTATGAACGCGGCCTTATGTTTCCCTTTTCCAATGATTGGTTTTTGTTCGCAATTGTTTTTCTTTGTTCGCAATTGTTCGGTACCGCCCCGTTATTGATTGTTTGTCATGTTTACGTGTGTTTTGCTCTGTTTACGCATGTTTGTTTTCCATCTTCCTCCTGTTTCTTAATTTTTTTAGGCTGATAGGCTTTTTTCAGGTTGTCACGCGCCTCCCTTGCAGAGATGGCTAGAAAAGGTGTTGCAGACTATGGATATGAATGGTGAGGACAGGTATACGGACAACATCGCTGATGGCCAAGTGGACCCGAGGATTCAGCAACACTTGGAGGTTTGTCTACCGTTAAATTAGGTGTCGTTGACTAAGGAGTATTAGGTCATCCCATTCAAATGTGCCGCCGGTTTTATTTGAATAAAACAAAGAGGAGAATAGATAAAAAAGTAATATTTTGGCTTCAAGTTAAGTAAATCCCTCCTTCACCAATGACCCGCTCCCAGTGCCCCGAAAGCCTTTGGACCTCTGGTACCTTCGATTTTTCAACAAGTGTGGGTAAATTGCTGTTGATGCCAATTTCGGCAAATGACAAAGCATTGTAGCGTTTGCCGTCAGAGAGTACCCTCGACTAACCAGATCAGTTGGAATCGAACGGCTTTATGTTGAGCGAATGGGGCGATTGAACCCAGGTCTCAGTATTGTTTGTGTCCCAGCACTGCCCTACAATACAGTTACTCGGGGTCTGGCACTATGACGAGCAACGGTGGCCTTCTTGTAGTTGTGTGGTATCATCCATTTGTCGATCTGATTGCCGAGGAACAGGCAATATACACCGACAGCGACGATTTTATTCTCTGTATAGAGCCGCCTGAAAGCCACAGTGTGGGAATCCTTTGCTATGATGATCATCCACTTGCGCCCACGTAACTCTTCATGGTAGAACTCGGGCGGCTTCTCATCTGCATTCATACAAAATTGACGATTGTGAGTTTCGGCTCGAGGTCCAAGACCACCCATATTTCATCTAAGGCCGGGGTGCGTTTTCACAGTCATGAATGACATGCTGAGAACATTACTGCTAGGAGGTATAGAATCGGTACTGCGTTCGTGCTTCTATAAGAAAATTGGGTACCCATGCGCCACCCTCTTGACCATCCTCCGTTTATCGGACATAACTCGGGCAGCAGTTGCAGCTGGGATGTCAGACTCGCGGGGAAGCTCGACAAGGGTCCAGGCTCTGTGATCAGATATTCAGTGCCTGACTTCATCCACCCTTTTTTCTTGTGCAGGATGAACATTATGGGACCATCCACGACAACAAATTTTTTCCTTTCTTCCTTCTTCGGGCTCCTGAACCAAACTTTCACCTTGTACTTCAAGAACACCATTATACACAACTACTGGTCCGGTGCCACTCGAAATTGAGCAGCGCACTTTCCTGTTATGACACCTGATTTGAAAAACCGGCGCCGATTTTCACCACTCGGGCTTCTTTTCAATTTCTCGAGAACTTCTTCTGGGGCTAGGTTCGCCAAATTTCACAGATACACAGCTTAAGGTACTAGCTTCCAAATGGTATAGTAGCCCGCTGCTCTATCCCCTTTGCTTTTCTGCCATTCCTCTATATGTGTCGGCCACTTTGAATGGGATGACCTAATACTTGAGGTCATATGCTTCTGCTCTTCTTTGAGACTTGTCGTGGTCGATTGTTTGAGCTTTTGAAGCCGTCAACTCTGGCGGTCGCATCTATTCCTAGAGCGTCCGCGCAACGCGTATCGTGGCATTTTGCCATTCTTTGGTGACTCACGCTTCCAATAGCGATTAGAGCGCGAACCTCGTTAAGCGGGACTTGAGTTAAAGATCAGTTAGTCTGTTTCGAAGTTGCATACCTTTCGCAATGGCGTTTCGATGAGAAGAACATGAATTGAAGAGCAGTTAGCCAGTTTCAGAGTTCCATACACATCGCAAGCGCAATTCAAATGAAAATGATGTGGACTGAAAGCAGTTAGTCTGCTTTCCAACTGACTTCATGATCTTTCAGGTGTGGGCACTAGTCAATATTACAATCTTCAGGCACCTGGCCAGTTTTTTACCGATCCCTGAGAGGGCAGAGTCGGCCAAAAATTTGTTTCCATGAGTATTTTGACCTCCACTCAAGGTGGAATCCGTGCCCTAGCACTGGCTAGCGCTGCTCCATGGGCGCCAGCGCCAAAATGCGCTAATCTAATGCGCTATTGTGACCCCTGAACATATCCACATCCGCTTGTTCATTCCTGAACACATACTAAAATTGTGCGATAACGGGCGAAACGGATCATCTGTGTTTTGGAGTGTATTCCTTTCCCCAATATTTGTTTCTCTTTGTTTCTAATTGGCCCGAAAAAAAGTTCGCGCTCTAATCGCTACTTGGAAGCGTGAATCACCAAAGAATGGCAAAATGCCAGGAGCGCCGCGGTCGACACGCCTTGCGCGGACGCTGTAGGAATAGATGCGACCACTTTGGCTAGTTAGTTTGTCTGCCGCCTAAAACTACACCTGGGAAAACGGCCTGACGAGTTTTACGGGCGCAAGTCGTCCACTTCGTTGTGGGACCACGCGTCCCTTTAACTTCATTTGAATTAGGATACTTCAATAAGAGCGGTTTTTTGTGAGATTACCGCTCTTGTGCGTAATCATAGTTAATAGGCGCAGTTTATCGACGGGGGGGGGGCATTTTGCTTTCCATAGATGTGTCGACCCATCTAGGTAGCGTTTTCTCGAGTTGACACGTTTTGGGATGGTGGCTAGACGATCCTGCTCCAGCTTCACAAGAGTTCACAAGTTTCACCAAAGTGAGATTTGCAAACCGGAACAAGGGAAGCAGTGATAGTACGAAATGCCCCCCGTCGATAAACAGCGCCTAGTTAACATTTTCTAGATCAGCTTCTGCTTCGAAAGGCTCATGAAAGTGGATACTGTTTCGTGCTTTGGTAAGTGCATACTGCTTTTGGCTTTGTGGATTGGTTCCGGAGCTTCCGCATGAGCAAGAGTGGCTCCCATGTTTGTACTCGGGGCTGCTCTCGTTCACCTGCAGAAGGGGGTGGGAGGATACAAGTAAGAGCGTTATTATGTTGTGGACTGCGTTACAATGGGCCTGGTTATAAGCATGAATATCTGCCAATGATCCTGAAGGAGTAGTTCACGTTTTCACGCAGCTGTACCCTTCTCCATTACAGCTGCATTTAAAACATTTTGATTATATTTTGCTGGAATTCGTTTACCATTCCGGCCTGTGAAGAATTGCAGTGAATCTAGATCTAACAGAGACTAGTTGTTGTTCTCCTAAACTCAACAGTTCTTTCCCTCGAGAGCTCTCTAAAACTGAGCGAGTCAAAAGTGTCTCCAAACCACATGTCAAACGGAAATTTTCGCGCGCAGATATCTAACAGCTCTTCTAACAGCGGTTTTGTGCACAGAATACCGAAGATAGGATGTAGATATCTTCCTGCGTCGAAATCCAACGCTGAGTGGCAGAACTTTTGAAAATGGTGGCACCCCACGGGATATAACCCCTAAAACAAAAGATGCACTTGAAGTGTTCAAGTTTCCGGTTGCACCTCAGGTTTCATGTTTCCTAATCTGAGCAGAAGTAGATCTCGAAAATATAGGTTGGAAGCCACTGCTGTGCTCTACCTCATGGACAGGTGAGCCTTTCCCTTCTCCCAGAGCTAAGGAGGCTGCGAGTAGAGTAAGTCGGCGGCCTCTCGACTTATGTCATCAAAGTTGCTGAAAGTACCTATTCTGATTAGTTTTCTTTTTTTCGATGCCTGTCAACTGTGTGGTATGTGGAATAGGATTCCGCGAAGCGAGAAGCTTCTACAAGCATTTGCGAAATGCGCATGCATGGAACGAAGAACAGGTTATGGGCGAGAAGATTCGCATCAAAACTGCAAAACACACGGAAGTGGTATCGTGTGACCAGTGTAACAAAGTGTTTTCTACGAGGTTTGGGCTGCAAAAGCACAAAAAGGTACTATCCACTGTCCCATTGCTTTAAGGCATGAGCAATTCTGGTAATTCAGCAGGTTCATGGAATTGCATCTGCTCTGGAACTGAACGTCACATGCCCGGTATGTAGTGCCCGATTCCATTCTCATCGGGAATTGGCTCATCATTGTGGTGCATCACATCGTGATGAAAATGCAGATCTGCAAGATTTTTCGGTATTCAGCGGAAATTTCAGCAGCATAGAATTATTCGAGGTGAAACCTGCTTGTTCCCGGTATAATTTTGACACTTAACCTTTTCAACGTCCTAGGCATGGAAGACCTCACTGGAGACTTCAACGTGCACAACATTTTCAAAAAGAGACTGTAAAGAGAGAAGTAATGGGAGAAAACATATTTATTGGTGTAGACATGCCCGAGGACATGGAGCAGGTATAGATGCCGAAGAAGTCCGTCATGTGTACGGCAAGAGCAAACGAGTTCATTCGCACTGTCCTGCTTACTTGAAGGTTCAGTTCCGTTTTGAATTTCACACTACACTACATTCTTTGATCTGCGAAACACTCTAGGTATTCGAAAAAAATGATGGCAGTGTCGTATACGAAGGTTGCACTGGGCACCTTGGACACATTGTGAGTGCGGCGTATCTTCGACTTTCCACAGAAGACGAAAAAGATATCTTGAACATGTTAAAGTTGGGAATGGAGGCGTCATCAGTGAGTAATGAGCCTACACATAAAATCATTGAAATGACCCTTCTGGGGTCATTCAAGTGTTGTATTCTGTATCTTTCTTGTATTTTAACAGTAGCGGTTAAGATTGTTCAAAAACTCGAACGACAAAATTGGAATTACAAATTAGGCCTCAACGAACAACGCAGGATATGCTATATTGAAAACAAGGATGTGTGGTTAGTACCACTACATTGTAGAGATAAAAGCGCATTAACTGTACGGTTCATAAATTTTAGGCGACTGGCCGAGCGAAATGGGTTGATACAAGGAAGATCGCATTCTGTTGATCTTGTGTCGATGGAGGAACTGCTGCATCGTGAAGACGTTGCCGCGTTCGAATATGTGAAGTCAGGACATCCAACGGGGGACGGTTTTGTCCTGGCGCTCGTCACTACAAGCGGAAAGAAATATCTTGATAGGCACGGATATAGAGGATTGGTTTTTGATGACACATTTAATGTGTCAAGATATTCTTTTCGTCTCGCTACACTCTTGGTTTCCGATGATGGGGGTCATGGATTCCCCTGCGGTTTTGTACTCTCATTCCGAATGACTTCGCAAGAAATCTCCACGCTGTTTCGTATTATCAAGGTATGAATTACCATCATGACTCGATACCGTCCTCCGCAAGGCTAATTGCAGAACCTTCTTCCGCAGTTCGACACTCAATTCGTCATGACAGATGATTGCGGTGTCTTTTATAATGGTTTCATGGATGTATTCCCTTTGAGCAGAGCCCAGAAAATTCTATGTAAATTTCATCTGAGTCAAAGTATCGGAAGAAAATTGAAGGAGACCTTAAAGGTGAGCGGGCTTTGGAATGTACATGTTGCTTCTTGTACTCAAGTTTATCAACGATCAGAGAGAGGACGTGAAAATTGGCACTGCATTATTTTCTCAATTACTGGACGAATCAGAACCATCTCAGTTCGAGAGGATGTATGTAGCTTTCCTTTCATGGATAGGATCGAGGAAGCGAAGGAATGCTATCGGTAGGCGGATTCTCCAAAGTCACTAATGGCTCTCACGCGTGCGTTTTAGCACATGAACATGTTCTATTCTGGAAGGAAAAGCGAATGGGCTCCTTGCTATAGACGAAGAAACACCGTTTTCGACCTCAAATCATGCGGAGGCCTTCATAGAGCACTGAAGCACGAAGTTCTTAAGGAAAAACAAAACAGTCGTCTTGATAACCTTCTCTTTTCAATTTTGGAATACTCTGCAGTTCGAGAGATCAGTCTTCTGTCCCAGGTCGGCTTGAGAGGCGACTGTATAATAACATCCGTCATAACTTTCTGCTTTTAAGGGAATCAGAGGATTAACAGGAACCTCTTCAAGAACGTGTAGGTCTCTACAACGTCATAAAGACGCCCTGTTCCACTACGCCGATAACAAGGTGCTTTCTAATGCGATCCCTTTCGTAACCACTTCAGCACAACATCATTGCAGGACAAAATTTTTGAGCTGGAGCCGCGCGCGTGGGGAGTCCCATCGAAATCAAAGTCTAGAAACGATTTATTCTGTCACGATTAATGAATCATGTGACTGCGATCCCCTAGTAAGTTAATTTTTTTAATTAGTCAAGTGGTTAATCAAAAGGAAAACTTCAGAATAATTCACATTGTCAAAGATGTGGAGCCTGCGCTTTCCGCATGACATGTTCTTGTAGGGATTCCATGAACCCAGGAGTCGCTTGTATACACTGTCATGCAGTGGCCACATTTTCAGACAGTGGTGAGATCAGGGGTTCTCGGATCTGCCTTGCAAACATAAAGTGGCGACTGTTCCAGCAAAATGTTTGCTACCCGTGAACGAGCATAGACTGGCTAGTAGTGGATGTTCAAGCGCAAAGTTATCAAGAAGTACAACGCCAGGATCGCATGGAAACTTGTCCAATCTCCCAAACAGCTTAGCAGGTACTTAGAGTACTTGGTTTCCGGGGCAAAAATTCCGTCAATTATCCGCTTGCAGACGATGACGTGCTCGAAAGATCGATTTCCAGCCAAGAAGCAATTGCGGAACAGGACTGCATAAAAGAAGATTACCAGCGTTGTCAGGGGGTTGGTGCTTAAGAGAATTAGTTGTCAATGGTCACAGGTGTGATGAATCTCTCCCAGAACCTTGCGTATGTCAACGAACTATTGCGAGTTTGTATGAAGAAGAAGCTTCTTCAACCTATACGTGAAGCCAACAATGCTTTGATGGATATAGCTACGAAACTAATGGAAGTGACGGGCTCAGGTGGAGATTTGGTGAGACGGGTTTCAATGCAACCACCAGGGAGGAAGCCAAAACCGGAGCCAATCGAAAAGTTCAAAACGGTAGGTATCATTGAATTGTCAAAATCGTTCGCAACGAATAAGATTGGTTGTTGCAGAGAGCCCAGACGCGCAGAAGGAAGCGGGGAAGAACCAGCTGAGCTCGCTTACAAGAAAAGGTGTGCAGAAATTTACCCTTACCCTTTGTATCGTGACGAACATAGAAAAAAAAAGAAGAATAGAAAAATAACCCCATGGAAATCCTTTTCAGCTACTACTACTACTACTATTTCTACGTATTTCGGTGTTTCTTTATGCCGCACTGACAGTTAATTACTGTGAATGTGAGTTCCTCACTTATTTTGTTACACCCTTTTCTCGCTATCGCTTTTTGTAGTTTTCATTGCTGTGTGGTGTTCGATGTTTTCACGTTTTTCCCGTGAAGCGTTGAACACGCTCAACCGCTGAACCGCGGCGGTTCGGCGATTGAGCTTGTTCAACGCTGCAATACGTTCAGATTCCTTTAAAATGCCACCGCTACTCTGAGTGGAAATAGTATGCCCCATCCCAAAGAAGGATCGATTGACTTTTCACTTTTTCGTCTTTTACGTGATTTTCCAGACCCTCCTTAATCTCCCACATTATTTGCTTTACAGACTGTTGTGCAATGTCTGAAAAAGAGATATTTGTTAGGTCGAATACGAGAAGGCTTTGGTTCTGTTGAGCGAGAAGAAGATCAGCAACGTCCAAGATATTGTTCCTGCACTTGAACTTGCTAACAAAGTGAAAACCCTCTGGTGGTCATCGCATAGACGTGGATGGCGAAGCACCAACCATTTTGGTGCTGAACCGTCTAAAGGTCAGTTATTTGCATACTTCAGAGACGTTATACCTGCAATCTACTATTTCTTTAGGTCGGACTCCAAGTGGTAGCTGTGAAAGCACCCGGATTCGGTGACAACAGGAAAAACACGCTGACGGATATGGCAATTGCGACCGGAGGAACTGTGTTTGGAGACGACTCAAACTTGGTTAAGCTTGAAGACATTCAGCTCAGCGATTTCGGATAGGTACAGTTCAGGCAATTTCTCAAATATTTGGATGAATCAACTCCGCATATTGACAGGTCGAAGAGGTGACTATCACTAAAGATGGTACCCTATTGCTGCGTGGCAAAGGTGATTCAGCTCAGTTGACAAAGGATCGAGCAAATTGCAGATGATATCGAACAGTCCACTAGTGAATATGAAAAGATAAGTTTCATAAGACCAAATATGGACAACCCTTCAATAACCCGTGGCTTTCAGGAGAAACTTAATGAACGTCTCGCAAAGCTTTCTAAAGGTGTCGCCGTTTTGAAAGTAAGTGGTGCTTCTGAAGTAGAAGAAAGATCGCGTTACCGATGCTCTATGTGCTACCCGTGCCGCTTATGAAGAGGGAATCGTAGCAGGAGGAGGAGTCGCGCTTCTTCGAGCTCTTGAAGTTCTTGAAGGGTTCAAGGTGCGCCCTCCTCTGGTTTTTCGGAATTCTTAAATAGTTGAAATTTGTGCAAATCCGTATTGTAGGCTGCGAAAATCAGCAAATGGGTGTAAACATCATCAAAAAAGCAGTTCGTCTACCAATCAGCACTATTGTCAGGAATGCCGGATTGGAACCAGCTTCCACAGTTGAGAAGGTTTGTAGCTATGTGTCATCGTTGATTCATTCGTAAACATTTTATCTCAGATCCCACTGAATGACAATACTGGTTACGGATACGACACACTCAATGACAAGTTTGTCGACATGTTTGACGCTGGTATCATCGATCCCACAAAGGTATGTGTAATGAAGTTCTGCTGTGTGCAGTAGTCTCTGAAGTGACGATCTCTTCCAAAGTCCGACTTTCCTATCAGCTAGTGCTGTTGTAGCTTCCGTGAGTTCCATTTCCCAGAAGTCACAAGTCCTTTTCCTAATATCCACTGTACGTGAACATCCAGAGTCACCTCATGTCGTTCAGGTTGTGCGAACGGCGTTGCAAGATGCCGCAGGTGTAGCTTCGTTACTTGCTACGACGGAATGTGTTGTTAATGAATTACCTAAAGAGGACCCAGTGCCAGGCATGGGCCCTCTGGGAGGAATGGGTGGAATGGGCGGAGGAGGAATGTTCTAAACACCGACCGCTAGGATTTATTTCTAATTTGCACTATTGATTCCACTTGTTACGTTATCCATCTTTCGCTCAATTGTTGCACGTTGTAAATTTAGTAGATAGTAGTTGTTATAATAGGCATAGTTAGTTTTTGTTACATGGTTTCTATCAGTTGTACGTTGTATTTGGAGTAACCATTGCATCTCAGAACGTTGTTGATTTTTGTGTTCAATCATAGATTAAATAAATATCTTGCCATTTTATTGTCTTTGTTACGCCAAACTGCTGATTGAGTTAGGTCACCACTTCATGCAACCCCAGTCCGACGTGAGAGATTTTGTGGCGAGGCCATGCGATTATGTTGTAGTCAGCTGTCTTCAAATGGTTTTTTTTTCTTTTCCAGATCGCAATTCCATGCCGACCGGACGCAGAGGGTCAAACGTTTTATTGATTTACAGTTTTCAAATTAACGTAGCTACTTCCTCAGCAAACATAATCGACTTTCAATCCATCATTGGCATCGCGTGAAGTCCTTCTGACTTAATGTTAAAACCACAGCCAATATGTTAACAACTTCGTTTGGCTGACCTTTCGGCCTTGTCGCCTTCGTCGGAGCCTTAGGAGCTCGGCTTGCTCGAGTTTCGACTACCATGTTTGTCCGATACGTGAGCCAAATAAAGTTGTTATCTTGGTTGTGGTTTAAACATCTTACCGGAAGTAGCTACTTCCCTTCAAAAGGTAGGAGCAGTGGAAGTCCTATTTTCTTGTGAGAACAGGAGCGATTGTTGCTTTTCAACGCTGCAGTTCTCGCTTCAAGGTTATCACAAGATCGCTGAGCTAGGGCACATAGATATCTCAGCCAGCACTCCAATCTACACTCGAAGATAAACCCGATAAACAAGAAAAAAAATCAAATCAAAAATCAGCAGTCCATCATATTGTAACGATGTTCTTCGTACTAAATAAGCCTTTTGAACAGAACCTCCGGGATGTTGTACACGGCTCATAAGATAGAGCACCCCAATGAAAAGAATTCAAACAGGAAAGTAGCATCTATCTCCTACATCTCCGGGCACCACTGAGCGAAATTTCAAGTATTGCGCGTGAGATGGAAGGTATGGTACGTGATCACGTCCTCCACAACTTATTTTCCGCCCGGTGCAGGAGTTGCGGGCGGCCAAACGGCATTAGCCCTCGTGACGGAATGCCGACATGCAGAAATTACGGACAAAGAAGCGATAGGGATCGATCGGTCCATCGGCATTTCTGCAAATTCCGCACTTCTGCATATTCCACGGTTTTTGAAATCGATAGACATATTTTCTTTTTCTGCAAGTTCCGCGGTTCTGCAGATTCCACACGTCTGCAAATTCCGCAGTTCTGCACATTCCGTGGTTTGGCATTTCTGCATCATCATTATGAACGCGTTCACCTGAGTTTACTAATGTTGCCCAATTCTTTTCATATTACTTTGATTGCTGGTTTATACCCAATTGAGATTCACTTGAGGTATTAGCTATAGGGCATTCCAAGAACAAGTGAAACATTGATCTGAAAAAGAAAGAAACCGGAAATCGGAAAAAAATAAAAAATGAAATTTCTTAGAACAATGCCAACCTTCTCATCTGCTTTCCCATGTACCTATCAAGCTTCACTCCGATTTGCCATTTTCCATCCTCAAACAAACCATCGGAAGGGGCCCATACAGCACAATGTATCGCACATGTGAACAGCGAAAAGTCCAACAACCGCTAAAAGTTTTTTTCTTCAGACACCACTGTGAATACGAAGCCCCTCCTCAAACGGCCGAAGCCTCCCAGCGTTGTGAATAGGTGGCGTGAAACAAGAGAAAAAAAAACTACCGAAAATCCTTCTCAGGCTGAACACGATCCCTGAGAGGATTTCACAGCGCGTACAACGTGCACGGTTTATGAAGCCAACCATCCGCCTACTTCCTTACGAGATGAATAATCTCCAACAGAAACATCGAGACGGCATTGTGACTGAGCAGCGGAAGTCGTCACAAAAACGCAATGGCACAAATCCCCCGCTTTCATCACTAATTAATGACGTCAGACATTGCCTCGGGCCAGAAAGCAAAACATTTTTTGCCGTTGTCCGCGCACGGTCGCGTCGCGGTTCGTCCGATGTGTAGCGCGTTATTCCTCAGCAAAAAGGCCCTTCACCAAGGAATACGGGCTGCTTTGCCCTTAATCTTCAACTCAGCGGTTTAATGCAGAAGTACTGTGTCGTGAGTTGAGTCCTCTCCTGTGCAAATAGATGATAGTGAAGGTGTAAGTGATACGGGCAAGTTTTGCTGCCTCGTCTTGTTGAGTAGCTGTTGATCACCGCGGTTGCCTCCAAATTACCAACAATGCTCTCTCTCTGGGGGAGCCGGTCGTTCGGCGCGGCCGGATTGCCATTGGGGCGCATCGGCTGTAATTGCCACCCACCACCCTGTCGATGCGACGCGTTTCGTGGGTCGGACAACTCGTCCACGTTTATTAATGTCTTGGTTGACGTCTTGATCCACCTACGTTGGCAGTGCGCCAACATAGGACACGATTGCGTCCGAATCTCCTACTCAACCATTTTCGTCCGTTTTTGAGCGATTTTTTGCCCTCTTTCGCCTCGACATCCCTTACTTAATGCTGCTTAGCTACTTAGAAGTGGTTATATCGGGAGCACTTTTGAGTTCTGATATATCTCACTTCAAAGCAGGTATCAGTAGACAATGAATGGTACTTCGAGTGGTAACTTCGGTAAGTTTTTTAGTAGACATAAATTTGTGAAACAAACTATCGCTGTCTACACTTCAGTCTACCCTTCACTGTTTCACCCAGCTGGCCAAAATTTTTTGTCACCAGTATATTTGGCTACAGCTCTATCCCCAAAATGAGCGTGCCCAAGGGGTAAACTAACCTTTTTAAAAGATTCCAAAAAATTGTGCCAACCCTCGAGCGATGCATTTTTGAAGACTTCACCACTGTGAAGCTAGCTAATATTGGATGGTAGGTTGCATTTCTCAAT